ACAGAGGATCCCCGTGAGCAGCATGAGGGAGAGCTGCAGAGCAGTGGTGGCAGAAGTTGCCACCCCATCACCACCCCTCGTGTGCATGGATTTCCCCCCCCTTGGGATCAAACCCATTTTCCCTAGTAGTTAGATGCCATTACAGTTACATTCCCTACAAATGGTTTATCTAACAGTTATCTGGTGCACATGTAGTATTAGCTTCTTGTTCATCCGTGGCTTACGATTGGGGGGGATCATCCTCAGGACCTTCCCCCTTTCTCTTCAGGGTATTCACAATGGCTTCATATTACAGGGGAACTGATGCAAAACATGGTTAACGTAAACAGTCATGGAAGCAGATCCTCTTTTCTGCAAGGGAATTATTTGCTGGCATTTGGTGCAGGTGACGGGTCACCATGGTTGATGCCAGGAAGGCCCCGCCCCTTTAGTTCTGGTTGTTGATGCTTGCTCATGGGGCTGTGCATAGAGATGCCAGCGCATAAAGGGTGTAAGCTGACGCATATAAGTGAGCATGTGGGATGGGTCTACGCCTGTCAGCCCCTACCCAACTGTGATTCTGACACACATACCAGAGGGGATGTGGGGTCAGGGGAAATCCCAGAGAGTTGTGGGGTGATCTCACAGTCCCCGTACACATTGGATTGTTACTGAAGTGAATAATATGTAGACCGTCGTGCCCTCTCATTTCCATAGTACAATTGTCAAATGTGATTCTTTGGCGGAATAAATCTGCAAGGCTTCCTGGCGGGAATTTTGCGAGTCCATTAAGCCAAACTGCTAAGATTTAAGCCACAAATGGGACTGCGTCAGCATGAGTATGAGTCAGGCCATGAAATATACTGGAATACATGGGTTTTGTTGTCTAGTTTTGCACTGAATGTGAGGCTGTTCTTTGTGTTGCTTATGGGAGCAAAACTTCATGTGGTGTTTGTGACTCGTGTGCCGCTTGACCAGTGCTTTGATGTTTACAAGATGGCGACTGTTGATTGTAGACTTCCACCGCAGTGCACGGCTTCCACGGGAAGGCTCCTCTGTGTTGCTCTGGACAATGAATGGGATAGTCTCCTTTCCCCGATGGGCCCTCCCAAGTACCGCCTTTCCAAGAACTCTGCAGCGTTTGACTTTTCTGTTGAGAACAGAATGAGCAAAGTTTGTATTGACACAAATATTGAGTAGAATATTTCTTATGAGAAGGTTTATATTTTCTGAAGATAATTTATAAAGAAGGTTTTATATGCAATTATAGTAGCATTGATGCGGTGGCATATCTATCATGTAAACAAATGTATAGTAACTAGTCTATGTCAACTATTTTTTGTCATCAGAAATATATATATATATTTGTCAGTATGAGTGTGTGTGTCTGTATATAACTCCCTTCTAATGCTGCATTTCTATCTTTGAACATCTTAGAGGATGAGTACAGTGTATACCAAAATATCCTACACAAATATTACTTCTGTGCGGGAAATTTCCTATGTGCACACTGTTGCATGAGACAAGTGTCCCTTGTGGTCTTTCTGTACGTGAAGCCCTGATTGGTGGCAGTTTGTTTTGATGTATACACACAGTGAAATATACCTGAATGTTCCTCACAGTGATGGCAAATGCAAAACATTACATGTGGTTTCCTGCAAGAGAGAGGGGTATCCGCGTAAGAAATCTGACAAGTACGACATGACCCTTTTCAGGGAGGAAGAAGCTGTTTAGACTGTGCTCTTCAAGATGCATGCAACTTTTTTAGAGCCATGCTTGTCTTCCAGAGTTCTCTACCAATGAGAATACAAATAGCTGCTTAGTTTTAATTTTTTTGCATATGAATTCTTCGACCTAGACTCAGGGCTGCAAATCAGTGGTTCTTAAGCTGACGGGACCTGCCAGCAGGCCTTGCCATTACTCTCCGTGAACCCGAAGGGTGTACCCTGGAACACATCGTAGACTGGGCTGGAGCCGTCCACCTGCTTAGGCAAGGATCGTGGCTCTTCCCTGCTCCCCCCCCCCCTTATCAGACCCTGGGAGAGTCTGATTCATGGGGCAGCTGGACCCACATGGAGTAGCTGCCATGTGGGTGGGTGGCCTGCAGTGAAGAGAAGGAAGGGGCGAAAGCATTCCCATCCGTCTTCCAACAACTTTCTCGGAGCTGAAGGGGACTGCTGGGGAGGGGGGGGGAGACCCAGCAGTGGATTCAATCCACTCCTTGCAGCTGCACGTTGCAGGGAGAGGGATCGGGAATCCTGAGCCGTCTGTTCTCTTCAGGGAGCTTAATGTACCACGGCTGATCATCTCATGGAGGGAACCCCTGAGGAACCTCAGAACACAGTCTGAAAACCACCGCGCTGAATTAATTCCTATTGCTTGATCCCAACAATATTCTGCCCTCAGTTTTGTTTTGTTCTGTTAAAAACAAACCTGCCTTTTCCTGAACCCATTCATACTTTCTAATTCCTGGCTCAAGACATACAAGGAAAGAATGTATTACTTCCAGTGCTCCAGAAAACCAGCAATTTCTCTCCCTGTTTTACAATCAGTGGAAATATATATAATGTTTAAGGCCATGTGTTGTAAACTGGCAAAGAGGAATCAGGGCAGAGCCCGTTCGCGGGGAGGGCGGGGTATAAATGTAATAAAATAAATAAATAAATAAGATCAATCACAGGCGTAGTTCTGTTTCACAAAAGGAAGGCAGGGGGAAGGTGACCTGGTGGAAAATGCAGACTTCAAGGTGTATTTGTACCAAGGACACAGAGTTCTGTAGCAGTTTTACTCTCGTGGCTTCCTACAAGGAAACCTGGGAATAGTATTTGGGTGAGAGTGCTGAGAATTCCCTGTGGGAGATCCGTAGACCTCCTCCCACCCCTCCTCAGTTGGGGTCAGTGTGGGTAACTTGTTTTGATTTCTGCCCTTGGAAAAAAGGAGAATGAGGTATGTTATTAAAACGTCAACCAAACTATATTCCGTCTTCCAGCATTCACTGAGACGGCGAGTCTGAATTTTAACTGGGTTGTGAAATGTGAAATGCGGTGGTTCTCGCACTGAGATGGGGGGGGTCCTCCCCTGAGAGCACAGGACTGCTGGGGGGAGGGGAGCAGGTGGCTCTAGAAGGGGGGGGATCCTACCACTTATTTTAAAAGCTGCCTGAGGAGGAAGGAGCATGTCAGGATGCAATCCTTCCTCTCCTGCCTCTTTCTTGGCTGACTTGGCTTAAGAAGTCTATGGTGGCCAATTGCAGATTTTTTAAAAATTCCAGTGTTGGATTAGTGCACCAGGCAGTTTTCTGCAAGGATTCCACACACTCACGTGCCAAAGAAAGCTCAGGGAGGTATCTTGAATTTACCAGGAGCGTCTGCATTCAGAAAGCTTGAGCTACATTGGTCTAGAGACCTTCCAATAAGCTGAGCAAAATGTAGTGGCTAGTACCCTTAAATGTGTCCCAGGTTATGCCGTAATGTAAAGCAAAGACCAACAGCCTGGAATCGTTAGTTCGTTGTGTTGTACTTGCTCTTTGCAGTGTGTTTGCTTCATAATTCTCCAAAGAATAATTGTAATATTACGTACTTTGGATGAGCACTGTATCCACATTGTTGTGCCTAAACCGAAGCTAGAAATGCACATCATATCTTTGTTTACGTGTTCCTTTCCCGTCTTAAAACAGGGTTTTTATTGTGTATCTAGTTTCTAGTTGCCTGCCTTGCAAAAACCTCTTGTATGTTGAATTCTCAAATCTGAAACATAATAATTGTAAAAAATTAATAATTTATATGGCATGCTTTCTTTTGTATTTAAAGATCTGGTTGTCTTCAGAATATATTCTTTGGGAGATTCTGTATATATTTTTGCTATGTATTTTTGTGTTTGGGTTTTAATTTTGATTGTATATTTTGGCACTATTTTGAGATTCTGTATTAAGTGCTTTGTGAGTCTTGGACTTCTGATTAGAATTTGTCTGTGACAAATATAACCGCTGATTTCTGTTTTACCCTGGAGATGTTTGTCCATTGTGGGTTTTGTTTTTTGCTGTGGATGGGCTTGTAAATAGCCATTATCTGGTCACCTTTGGTAAGTAAACATCCTTTCAAGATGAACTTACAAAAGATCCCCCTCTAAAGCCCACAAATACACAGGTATGTGAGGACAGATGAGCAAAATAATAATAATAATAGTATGGCATTGTGTGTGGTATAGCCAGGAGATCCTAAGATTATCTGGTAGCCTTACGTTCTAGCTCATTTAGTGGTATGCACCACTAGGTGGCAAGCTAGACTTATAACATAAAATTTCTGTGGGTGAAGATCCCTGAAAGCATTTGCAAGCCTCCTATAGAGAATGTACATTTGCACCACCAATTCTATAGATGTTTATTCCCCTTCCCTACCACTTCTAGTGATTGCATAAGATGGATCATGTAGCTGAAGTGACTTAATATATATTTTTGTCATCCTTGTTTCTCAAATTTGTGTTCCTCCATGGACCTCTGGGTGGCACATGACAGGGGTTCTCCCATTTAATTATCTCAACTGTTCTGTCGGTTTAAGGCTTGGGGCAGGAGGATTCCGAACCAGGCACTCATGCAGCAGCAGCAGTTGTTGGTTGGCCCGCTGCTACACTCTGGTACCACCACCACCATGGTGGGTTCTCTTTGGTGCTCCTCTTTACGGAGCTGCCCTCTATCCCAGGGCTGCATGGGTGGTTTCCACAGGAGAGAGCCTTTCTAGAAGGGACCTGGTAGGACCAGACGTCTCAGCAAGATTCCATCTGCTGGTGGTACTGCCCTCTTATCACATACATTTCAATGGCTTCCCTTCCACGCAGGAAGCTCTGTTGCAAATTGCCACGAAAACAGGTCAGGACCTCCCTATCTCTGTGCTTTGGCCCCGAGTGACATCACTGGAGCCACCAAGCTTTGCTGTGCTTCTGTATGGTGATGCGCTGTGGACAGGCATCTCTCTGCCTTGGGTTCCTTTTATTTCATCCGCAAAGACTTGTCTCCAGGTGGGGTCTCTTTCCTCCAGCTCTTTTTGTGTGTGTGTGTGCGTGCGTGCGCAAATCTTGCCTCACCCTGACCCTGCTCCTTGCTTGCTGTCCTTCGTGGCTCCACCACCACCCCCTTCTCGTTGCCTCGTCTGGATCCCAGCACAGTCACCCAATGTATGTCATGCTTCTGCCCACTGAGCAGACAGCTTCCTGGCTGCCGCCCTGGGTGGACATACATCTAGATGGGAAGCCACCTTGCGTCAGCCAGTTACCATCAAAGTACAATTTACTCTGCTATTTTTACAGGTTATGGCACTTGAGGTCTGGGAAGCGTCCACTATTTTTAGGCCCTTGGGTTAGTCCGGAGTTCAATCCGTATCTTTTCTTTTGTGCAGCTCATCTGTTACGTAATCGTCTGTTTTGTTAATCGAGCAGGCATTCGACGTCTCTGCGTAGATCCTCCTGTAGCTAGTGTGGAAAGCCACCACGTAGAAACAGGCTATCAGGCTGCTGAGTCCCGCGAACACCAGTGACGAAGCTGTAAAACGATAAAAAAAAAATACTATCAACACTTCCTTAGAAAGGAGCATCTGCAGTATGGGGGCAGCATAGAAAGCCAACAGCTTCCCGCTCAGCAGCACACCCTTGTTTATGAATGCTTCCCTTATTCTGAATGTTGAATCTTAAACGGGGCTAGCATGTGCCACCAAAGTCAATGACGTATCTTCAGCAAAATGTCAAACTGCATAGAGAAACAGTGGGCAGTACGATACATGGACTTATCCTCCATTGCTACTGCTGCTCCCTCCTGCTTCCAGAAAGATAAGAACATAAGAGAACATAAGAGACGCCAATGTTGGATCAGGCCAAAGGCCCATCCAGTCCAACACTCTGTGTCACACAGTGGCCAAAAATACCAGGTGCCATCATGGGGTCCACCAGTGGGGCCAGGACATTAGAAGCCCTCCCACTGTTGGCCCCCCCAAGCACCAAGAAGACAGAGCATCCCTTGCCCCAGCCTGAGAGTTCCTATCTATACCTTGGGGCTAATAGCCACTGATGGACCTCTGCTCCATATGCTTATCGAATTCCCTCTTGAAGCCGTCCATGCTTGTAGCCGCCGCCACTTCCTGTGGCAGTGAATTCCATGTGTTAATCACTCTTTGGGTGAAGAAGTACTTCCTTTTATCCGTTCTAACCTGACCGCTCAGCAATTTCATAGAGTGCCCACGAGTTCTTGTATTTAGTAGTAAGGAGATCACTCCTTAGGTTGCAGGATCTGCCATGAGGGTTGATTCTCTCAGAACGAGGAGTGGCGAGGGGATGAAAGTGTCCCTCTTCCCTCAGTGGAGCGGCTCATGTAGAATGGGGAACAATTTTAACTCCTTGTCCCTCCTCTCTTTTCAGTCCCCACAATGTTCCACTACCTGGGTCCCATGACTGTGTGCTTGTTCCTGTCAGTGGTTAGAAACAGCCACAGCAGTGAATGCAGGAGAACTACGCCGTTGCCCACGGAGTGGTGGAATGCTGTCCAACTATGCACAAATTCCAGATGGCTTAGTTGTCGCAAGACCAAGAGTCCAGTGCTCCTTCACAAATATATCAGCTTTTGTGAGCCAGGCCACGTTTCATCGGTTGCACAAGAGCCATAGCAAGATTTGTTGCCCGGCACCCGCAAAGCACAACTCCTTTTCCCCAACTCCTCCTATACTGTCAGGATGTTAAAAACAACAACAACCCTTCACTAAATCTATTAGGGGGTTAAAAAAATCTTCACTAATTCCATTAGTGCTCTGTGCAGAGACCAAAATTATATCAGGGTCTCAACAGACGGAAACGAAGTCCATGTGACATAGTCAGTAATAGAGTATCAGGCTAGGGAAGCCTAGTTTCACACACAGCTATGAATCTCAGAGCATTGCCTTGGGCCAGTGATGTACTTGGGCCGGATGGTTAACCCTAATCTACTTCCCAGATCTACCTCCCAGAGTTGTAGGGAGGATGAAACATAGTATACCTTGGGTTCCTTGAAGGAAGGGTGTCATAAAAAATGTGGTAGACACACAGCCAAAGAGCAACAGCTAAGAAACCAGAGAACTGCATTAGCAGAACTTGAGTATTTGCCAACCCAGGGGAAAGAGATGTAGTACAACCTAAGGCCATGTGTTACGTTGATGACTCTCAGGCTCTCTGCTAGCCACCACCTCTACCCCTTCAGGACTGCATGAGCTCTCCTAATCCAAACCTATCCTGACATGCTGCATGCCTTATTACTAAGTTGCAGCTGCTCCTTAGTGTGCCTCCGTGCGTGCCTGCGTGGACAATGGATCCTGAAGATACCAAGAACATGAGTTATCCTGGATGGTGCCCCATTTTACACCTTGACTTCTGGATTCTAGCTGATGAGACGCTAATGCTTCTTGGAAGTGATACTACACTTCCTTTCTCTCTCTTTTTGCCCTGCCTGCTCTGTTCAACTTCCATATGGATAAAATTGGGGTCCCCCCCAAGTTTAAATTTTTGGAGAAAAGGTGGAATGGAAATACGAATCGATTGCTCCTTCTGTTCTTTGTGTAAAGTGACAAGCTAGGATGCCTCCCCATAAAATTCATTTGAAATGAGTGTCCCAGGTCAGCGGGTACTAAAAAATATGGAAGTAATGACGAACCCATGAAATGAACTGCATTAGAGGGGCTCTGGAGAGACACCTTACCAAATACAGCATGCATGGTGCTGTGAGACGAAAGACTAAAGGCCTGTCAAACCGTTTTCACTGTTTCCATCTGCCCTCCTCACCCACCCCAGCTTTTGTTGAGACTATGTATTGAACTCTCTTGTGGTAAGGCTGCAATCCAATGCCTGCAAGTCTTGGGTGGGCAGAGCTTCCATTTTTAGTCTGAACTCTCTTGTGGTAAGGCTGCAATCTTGGGTGGGCAGAGCTTCCATTTTTAGTGCACGTATCAAGGATGGTGCGGTGGCTCAGTGGTGAAGACGCTGAACTGCAGACTGGAAGGTTGGTAGCTCGGCAGTTTAAGACTCTAGTGCTACATGACGGAGTGAGCTCCCGTCTCTGGCCCCACCTCCCGCCAACCTAGCAGTTCGAAAGCAAGAAGTTGCAAGTAGATAAATAGGTACCGCTTCAGTGGGAAGGTAACAGCGTTCCGTGCGTCTCGGCGTCTAGTCATGCCGGCCACATGACCACGGAAACATCTTCAGACAGCGCTGGCTCTTCGGCTTGGAAACGGAGATGAGCACCATGCCCTAGAGTCGGATTCGACTAGCTTTTGAGCAAGGGAACCTTTACCTTTACTGTCAAGGATAAAGAGCCAAACTATTTGAGCAGGTGAGTCATATGGCACCGCTTAACAAAAGTGAACCCCTTTGAACTGCAGCTGGGTGACTGCGCGTTCAAGGATTTCTGTACTTCTATGTTTAAATCCAGCTCCCTAGACAGGGGAAACTAGCCTCTCTAGTGTTTTGAACAACTCGAAGGCTTTGCGCTGGGGCTGGAAAGGCCTGGATTCAGCTCCCCACTCAGCCGTGAACCCCAGGGAGGCTGAGCTAGCGTGGGTGTGAACCCAACAGGAAGAATTTCAATATCCAGCAAGATCCACAACACTCACTTCTGCTAGTGTAGCTTTGCTCTTCGCTGGAGGAAGTTCCGAGAAGGAGCAGACCCATGGCAGAAGATGACCGGGTCTTATGTTCAATAAGGGCTAAATGGTCTCCCTGTGCAACTTGGGAGGAAGTTGCTGTTCTCATGGCGAGACAGTTGCTCCCTCCTCAGATTGTTGTGGCGTGTCTGATACAGACATTGGCCTGCCTTCCCTTCTATCCAACTGAATCAGATGTCTTCTCTTCCTCCAGACCTCATTGACACTCAGTGAACATCCTTCCGGCATGCAGACCGCATGCTTTCTTCATGTAGCCCCCAATCCGCAGGATGCTGAGTGGGGAGGAAGAGAGACGGTGCCTCTGAACTCCAGCTAGGACTCAGCCACCAAAATGGGCGGAAACATTAGTTGGTAATGCAGAAGGTGACACTCACTTGACCAATCCAGGGTCCCTCCTTGAGCTACTGAGCAAGTAGAGTACGTGGTGTTTTTCATCTCCACCGCCAGGCTTCGGAGCAAGACCATGAAAATAACTCCTAGGATCTGGCTGCCCCAAAATGAAACAGAACAGGCCATTATTTATTTATACAGGAAATGTCTAGGCCTCTCCAGAGAACCTGTTTCGGGTGGCTTACAAAGTAAAACACACAAAAAACCCCCCATATATTTTAAAAGTTAACAATTAAAACCTATAGAATTTTTAAAATTCAAAAGCCTAACCACCACCCCCATAAAACCACTATAGAAGAGCCTCATAAAACAGGCTGGAACAGCTCCGTAGCCAGGAATTTTTTCACGGTGGGGCACCAGGGCACGCCAATTAAATTAAAATTAGTTAAATTAAACAGGCGCAGTGGAGGGGAAGGGAGCTCCTTACCCTGGCAGCTCCCTCTCTGATCAGTACGTCTGGCCGGAGAGTTGGGGTGGCAAATCCCAGGCTGCAGGTGAGCCACGGAGTTGCCTGGCACCACCGGTAAGGCCAGCCTGGGCGAGAGCAAAGCAAGGTTCCCCGGGAGAAAGTCAGAGAGAGAGAGAGAGTCGGAGAGATGGATGGATGGACCGGTCAGGAAAGACTTAGGCAGGACAGACTCAACCAAGTGAGCCAGACCCAGAAGAGCTCGAAAGTGAAAACGGCAAACAGTCGGCGGGGGAGGGGGGAGTCGGAGGGACAGGGAGTTGGGAGGGAGACAGAAATCGGGCAGCCGGACCCAGAGGGAACAGCTAGGAAAGGGAGATCTGCAAAACAGACTGCAGGGGGAAAGGTCCAAATCCCTGCCTATTTGCAAGTTTTATTGCAGTCAGGGATACGAGTATGCAAATTTGATAGGGGGTGCTGCCCTGAGTGCCCCACCGCTAGCTACGGGCCTGGGCTTAGAAGCATGCTGTAAAAAGGATTTGAAAAGATCGTCCCCTCAGAAGCTGGGGTAAACGTTTGGCCTGGCACCTGAAGAAAGGGTGGAATAGGTGCTACCTGAGCCTCAAGGGGAAGGGCATCCCACAAGGAGGTGCCACCCCCAGTCTCTGGTCCCTGCCTGTCTCTCCTCTGCAGGTGGCTGGCACGGGCGACAGGGCTGGAGGATGTGGGAGGGGGTCGTCCTTCAAGTACCTTGCCCCCAAGTCATTTGGGGCCTTAACTCTGAATTGTGCCTGGAAAGAGATGGGCAGCCAGTCCTTATCCAGGTCCTCTTGTTAGTTCTTCATGATATCCAATGAAGGGAGCTTTAACTCTCGAACGTTTGTACCCTGAAACTCTTTTTTTGGTATCTTTTTTGTGTGTGTCCACGTGCGCTTGTGTGCCCGGAAGTCATGGTGACTTTGGGTGACCCCTACTGGGGCTTGGATGTTTTCAGAGAGGCGGCTTACTACTGCCTGCCTCTGCGTTCTGGCCCTGGTGTTCCTTGGAGGTCTCCCTTCCAGGTGCTTGCCAGGGTCAACCCTGCTTAGCTTCCGAGATCTGATGAGATCGGGCTTGCCTGGGCTATCCAGGTCAGGGCTACCCTGAAACGCTTGTGGGCTTCTGAGGTGCTACTGGACTCAAATCTACCCTTCCATGGAATATCCACTATGTTCCTGAAATGTTTTATATATCCACTATGTTCCTGAAATGTTTTATGACCTCAGAACTTACCATACATGATAGATAGAATAACAGAATGCCTGCAAACATATAAATGTCTGCCTTGGGTACAGTGGGCTTCTTGTTTCGATCATGCTGGGATTCAGGTCCTTTGACCAAATGGGACATAAGAGACAAAAAAATTGAGAAGCACTGGGTGTAGGTGATCCGAAAAACCTCAGCTTGAGACCCTGGAGAGCTCATTCAAACATATATATCCCACCTTTCCTTTTGTGGTTCAAGGTGGCTTTGATAGACCAATGGTCCGATTCAGTAAGAGCCAGTTTCATGCGTACTGATGTAGCTCCTTCCCTCATCACATCGTCAGTTGAGGCAGACTGTTCCTTAACTACCAAGATCACAAAACTTTGGAGGCATCCCTCTCCCATTCCATCCCTCTCCCATTCCAATCTGGGGACTTTTGCAACAATTTGAAAAGGGCCTTTCCTGAGTAGCAAAAAAAGTTCCCGTGTCTGGCTGTGTTTGTGGAGCTACCATTACTTCTGCCGGTCACTTCATCAAGAAACTACCCTAGAGTTGGAAGAATGACAGAACAGGTCAAGGGGTTGGAGCCAGTGTTCCCTCTAAGCCCGAGTTAGCGTGAGCTAGCTCACAGTTTTTTAGCCTCCGGCTCACACATTTTTGTCTTCGCTCAGGAAGGGTGGCTCTGGAGCAGACTAATTGATGCAGTAGTCAAACTGCTCGCTCACGACTTTAATGCCAGTAGCTCACAAAGTAGAATTTTTGCTCACAGGACACCACAGCTTAGAGGGAGCATTTGAGGGAAGGCTAAAAGGTTTGAGGCTTTTCTGTTTTTTTTTTTTAAGGATGAGAGAAGAAGAGATTGGATTTATACCCTGCCCTTCACTTGGAGTCTCAGAGCGGCTTACAAACTCCTTTCCCTCCCCCTCCCCACAACAGACACCCTGTGAGGTGGGTGGGGCTGAGAGAACTCAGACACAAACTGCTCTTTTTCAAGGACAGCTGTGCCAGAGCTTGTGACTGACCCAAGGTCACATCAGCAGGTGCAAGTGGAAGAGTGGCGAATCAAACCCGGTTCTCCCAGATTAGAGTCCGCGCACTTAACCACTACACCAAACTGGCAAGATCACAAATGATGGAGATAGAAATTTCCTCCTTCCTCAAGAATACTAAGGGAATAAAACTGGGCCAGAGAAAAGGAATTGGAACAAGCCCAACAGTAGGAGGAGAAAGCATAAGCCAGAGATATGTGCCGAACAAAGCAGACATGACAGATCCTTTGAACCCAAGGAATTAAATTCTGTTTAACTGCAATCTGAGGTACAACCCCCCCACCGTTTTGGTCCAAAGTGTGTATGGGGGTTCCTTCTATAATAAGCCCTTGTGGCATGCATCACATTGATATGCTTAACTCTGATAACAATTGGTGTGGAATGGAGAGGAACTTGAGACTTCACTGCTGGGCAAGCCTTTGTCCCCTAAGGTTTTGGCTGAAGAGGGGGAGGAATCGTACGTGAGCAGCCCTAGCTTAGGAAAAGAAGAGGCTCAGGTTTTTTTGGACGAATCGGTGGCCCGCCCCAGGCTCAGCTTCTTACCTAGCCACAAAAATCAGCCCAGACGATGTTCCTTCTCCCACAGGGTACGAGCATTCCACAGCAAGTTCCATGTAGATGGGATAGGTCGCGAATCCAAAGAACCCAAAGATGGAGCTGATCACTGCCAACGCGTAGGTCTGGTTCCTAAACTGAGACACCTGGAGGAAGAGAGTCCATGTGGAGTGCTAGGTATGCGCCTCACTTCTCTTTGTTTGCGTGGGGAGTCCCCAGTGTGTCTATACCCATCCCATCCCTCCCAGTTTGTGGCAAAGCCTGCTTGGTTATGTGAGTACAACCCAGAGGTCATTTCGGGGGAGATCACGGGGGATCGCAGTTCCCCCGGGTGAGGTACGGGGGGCGGGGCACATGACGAAGCCCCGCCCCCTGCTTCCGGCCCTCATTCAGCCAGGAGGAGGCAGGAGAAGAGGGAGGGTAAGTTGCTTCCTCTATGCCTCTCCCTACCCCTGCCTGCCTGGGGCCAGGGAGGGCCTTCGCGGGGCTTCCTTGCACTCCCGCCGGCCTTGCAGGTCCACCGCCGGGCCCCTCATGGGCAAGGCCGGCGGCGGCCGGGACAGTTGGGGGTGGGGTGTGTGGCCTTATGACACACTTCACACCGCCGGGCCCCTCATGGGGCTCGGCAGTGGAGCTGCAAGGCCGGCGGCGGCCGGGACAGTTGGGGGTGGGGTGTGTGGCCTTATGACACACTTCTGGTGAGGTCAGGGGGTGTGGCCTTATGACACACTTCCGGTGATGTCAGGGTGTGTGGCATATGCTAATGAGTTATGCTAATGAGTTCACCTAACTCTTTTTCTACGAAACGACCCCTGGTACAACCCGTATATAATCCTCACCTCAAATTACATCTGGTTCATCTGGGTTCTATTCCACAGTTCCGGGGTTGGAACTGCCAGAAGAGTTCATGGAAGGCGTTGCTGGAGGGGGAATCTTTCCCTTCTCTCTCCCTTCCTGAAGGAACCTGTCCTGAATCTCTTCCGTAAGGATAGGCAGAGTTTTGCATGCAAAATATGCCAAGGGATATGTGTGTGTGTAGGGGCTGCAGTGCATTAATCTCTTTTCCTCCATCCATTTGCAGCCTGCGTCACAGAGAGACGAGAGAGGGTGATTCTGTTTGATTCCCTCTTGTCACCGCAGGGCCTCCGCTCATCTGAGGGTCCCATTCTCCTTGGAAAGTCCTCCGAGAGGACAAAAACAGTAGCTTGCTTGAGAAGGTGGGAAACGATCCCACTCCACCGACACCTTCTGCGAACTCTTCCAGTGGCTCTGACCCCACGAGACAAGTGGCAGGGCTTTCTCTTTTGGACACTGGGGTCGGAGGGCCTCACCCCACCCTGCCACCTCACAGCCTTCTGTCTCAGCAGAGGGCACACTGTGGAGCTCCAGTGGCATGCTCGGTTATCAAAGCTCCTTTTGTATCCCATGAGTTATTTTCCCTTCAGGCTTTGGGCCCACGCTCATTCGAGCAAGCTGAAGAATGAGGGGCTGCTTCCCTGAGTCAGTTCTGTCCCTTCGATACCTCAGACTGTCTCCAGAGGCCACCTTCCCCTGGCCCAATCCAAGAATGGCAGGCCTCTCGGAGAAAGAAAGGGCAACCGTCTTACTTATGCCCAGAGGCGTGCCGGCCACCTTCCCCGGCCACCCACCCGCTCTCGTTGCCTGTGGCCCAATCCAAGAATGGCAGGCCTCTCAGAGAAAGAAAGGGCAACCGTCTTACTTATGACCTTACGGAGTATGGAGTATCAGTCCCAGGCCTATCCTGCACCGTGAGTGACGAGGGGTAGGGAATCCAAGGAGTGTTCACTGCCCCCCTTCTATTTGGAGGAGGGCTGGCGCCTTCCTCTTGGGACCCTGAAGAAAACCCCCCTGCCGTCATCACCTCTCCTTCCTCACAAACTTCGGAGAGACAGACGACACGTTACAGCGGACACGGGTCTAACCCATGGCCACCAATGTCGTTCTAGAGCAGTGGTTCTCAACCTTCCTAATGCCGCGACCCTTTAATACAGTTCCTCATGTTGTGGTGACCCCCAACCATAAAATTATTTTAGTTGCTACTTCATAACTGTAATTTTGCTACTGTTATGAATCGTAATGTAAATATCTGATAGGCAGGATGTATTTTTATTGTTACAAATTTTCCGATGGTCTTAGGCGACCCGTGAAAGGGTCGTTCGACCCCCAAAGGGGTCGCGACCCACAGGTTGAGAACCACTGTTCTAGAGGAAAATTTAGCCACTTAAAATTGTCACAGGGGCCTGGGCCTGGTCAGGCTTGCAACACGAAGTCAACAAGCAATCTTGTCGTCGTCCCCCCCATTCCTTTTAAAACACTCTCGCTGTATATTCGGTTCTGAAATGGGGGGGGAGAAGGAGAATGATGTAATCCACTTTGGCCCCCACTGGGGAGAAGGGCAAAGCATAAATGAATGCCTTAAATAAATATTAGGTTTCCATTATGGCAACTTGCACCATATTTGTACCCAATGGTACTTACCACTGCATATGCCGTGCAAGCCAGTGCAGATAAACAAATACCAATCTTGGTAGATTCTATAAATTTCTTTGTCCTGTCCACGTACAGTCCAAGAAGGAAGGCACCGATTAATCCAGCCACAGTGAATAAGGCACCACACAGACCTGCAAATAACTGTAATAGGAGCTCAATAAGGGATCGTCGTTGTACAGCTTAGAAGTTTTTCTGCACAACAGGCTTTGTATGTTGTGAAAGCAGTTCAGAAATCAGACAAAACCACAGCTTAATGAAACTATGCCGATGTGATTATCTGGATGTGGGCCATGCCAGTTGACTAACTTTGGATAGGTAGGGCGAGTCAAACCTGGATTTGAAGTTGGTTTGCTAGCCATGGTTAGTCGTTAGTGTGGGTTTGTGACATTTGTTAATGCAGACAATTGTGACTAAATCCTGGCCTGTTCCACCAGCCATAGAACGAAAATTACGGAGCCACGGTTTGCCGAGGCAACCTAGGATTTGAGTTATCCTGGTACCACAAACTAGCCATACTTAAGATAAGCCATGGTTTCATTTCAGGTCTGAACCAAACCAATGTGTTCCACTCTGATTCATTAACAATAGTTACCTATGCTAATAACCATTAGCCAAAAGGCTGTTAGCAGTTCCAGGATAACTTGTACGCTGAAGGAGCCAAAAGGACTTCATTTTAAACCCCAGAAAATAAAATGCCGTTGTGATTCAGTAGCATTTGTTATCAATGTCTTTGTCTGGCAGCTTCACAGTGCCATCTGAAACAGAGCTACTAAGCCCGTTGACATCAGCAGACTTAGAAAGGTGTAACTCTGTTGAGGGATAGCACTTTAGTTTCAATACCGTCCAGGTACTGGTATTTGTAATGTAGCATCTGCAGGCCCGAGGTAAGCCAGTAGACAAACAGACCATCAAAACGTCTCAAGAGAAATCCTGTGTCTAAATAAATATGAGATAACCTCTGCTCAGTCACTGTATCTTACTTGCTGTGAAAAGGGGTGCGGGGGGGGGGGAGATGAGGTTCAGGAACCGAAGGGCCAGTCCCCAGGTCGTCCCTGCCGGGCCTGTCCCCCACTAGGTCTCAGAATAAGAAGGCTGCGAATCGCCCTGCCCCCAGTTTCCTCTTCCTCTCTATGGCTTCCTAAACCTTGGTCCCTCATGGTCACTGGGTATATTCCTGGGCCCTGCCCCCCACAAGACGCGACATATAAGAAAGATGAAGTAACTTACGTTTGAATATCCCATTGAGCACAGGACCTGTTCCAGCAGAGCACTGTAGCAGCTGAAGAGTGCTACCCCTCCTCCGACAGTGAGCATCAGGACGAGGTAAGGCTTGTTTCGAAGGAGCTAGGAGTGGAAGACGCCGTTGTCAGAAAGTGACATGTTTGCCGGCACACTAGGACCTGCTTCTGCTTCCAGTGCTGCTGGGGAACTTGCCCCAATCAGGTGTCTAGGAATTTTGGACTACTGTCCATTCTGATGCCTGTTTTGAAGTAAACTGTGGAGGAAGTAGTTGGCTTGGGTCCCTAGATCCTGGAGGAGGTGCCATTTTTCCTGTCTCTGCGCATCTCCCCCCCCCCGCTTCATTGTGAAGAAACAGAACTCTTATAAAGGATGCTTGATGCTCCCGTTCAGAGCATGCCAGCCGTCTGTCATTTGGACTGTTTGTTTTCAGGGCCAAAAGCAAAGGCCAGCACTCAGTAGCCATGCTATTCACTCGTGATGGTGGGGAAACTAATGTGGTGTAGCGACGAGAATATTATTTATTTCCCACTTTTCTCTTCAGTGGGGACTCAAATCAGCTTACAGCATTGTTCTCCCTGCGCCATTTTATTCTCACCGTAACAACTCTGTGAGGTAACAGAAAAGAGCCAGAGTCCAGTAGCACCTTAAAGACTAACAAAATATGTGGCAGGGATGAGCTTTCGTGAGTCACTGCTCACCTTCTTCAGATTTTGTGAGTCTTCGGGATGCTACTGGAATCTTCCTCTTTTCTACTGCAACAGACAGATTAATACGGCTCCCCACCTGGATCTGTGAGGTAAATTAGGCTGAGAGAGAGAGACTGACTGACTCAGGGTCACCTAGCAAGCTTCCATGGCTGAGTGGGGATCTGAACCTTGGTTTCCCAAATTCTAGTCATGTGCTCTAATCACCACCCCACACTGGCTGCTTCGATCTGACTAAATGATAACGTGGGTTCAAAACTTCACTGAGTCCTGTGAATGGGGCTGTGGGCAGGTCTTAATCTCTTGCCCTCACCTACCGTAAGCAGTGTTCCCTCTAAGCTGACTTAGTGTGAGCTACCTCACAGTTTCTTAGCCTCCGGCTCACACATTTTTGTCTTAGCTCAGGAAGGACGGCTCTGGGGCAAACTAATTTATGCAGCAGCCAAATCGCTTGCTCACAACGTTAATGCCTGTAGCTCACAAAGTAGAATCTTTGCTCACAAGACTCCACAGCTTAGAGGGAGCACTGGTTGTAAGAGTGCATCTTGCCATTCCTCAGGGGAGGAGCTCTGTAGGCAGTGAAGGGGATCTGAGGCCCAAGCAGCCATGATGGGCACAGCGATAAGTTTCCCTGCGAGAGCCCCCACCCTCCATCACAACCATGCTTCCTATAATAACCAGGAAAGCTCAGCTTATCCTTGGCTTTGCTCCCGCACAGCATTCCCTAATATCTCAAAAGCTGCTGTCCTAACCCTCAGCAAACTGAGTCTACCTTCTTCTGGTGTAGCCCAGTAATGAAATACCAGTCACCTTGGTATTTTATTCAGCCACCGCCCCCCTTGGGGTTATGCTCCGTACACTTTGTCCCATTAGCTGTATCCGGGGCTATGGGATGGGAACGGCCTGTGCAGCACTAGTGCCATCTCGAACTAGGAATGCCTACACAGAAGCACTAGCAAGATCAGACTCTCAGGCTGAATGTCAGAATACACGCAGCAGGTCTCCGGTTTGACGCCTGCCATCCCACAGTAAGAGATCCAAGGAAACAGAGCAGGGGAAGCTTCTTTGCCAAAGATCCCAGATAGGTGATGCTAAGGTTGAAAGGACCAACAATCTCATCTGCCATAAAGTAGATTTTTTTTTTGTTCACTCAGACAAGAGTTACCAGCCCCCCGGCCCTGCCCTCCACCAGCAATTGGTTGGCCAGGAGGGGGACTTGCCGAGCAGGAGGAGGCATAGGTCTATGTTGCACATCAGCCAGAAGTGACATCATCACACCAGCGATGCTCTGGTACTTGGGCAAAAACTCTGTGGTTGACCCCATTTTTACCATAAAGTTTTTGCCCAAATACCAGAGTGCCGTCACAATGTGACGGTTTTATTTCTGGTACATGGCAGAAGTGACGTCGCTGGCAATGTAGCCTGGGCCTCCCCCCCACTCCTGGTACATCTCCCCCCCCCATCCCCAGCCAAAGGGACATGGCAACCCTACTTCAGACCCAGGATTGGGGACACGTCCCTGCCCTTCCAGGTTTACCCATTGTTCCTTGCTTGCAACGTACCATCTTCAAGCCTGCAAAGACCGACTGTGAATTAGACTGACTGGCGCTGGCCGATGGGGGTGTTGGAGGCTCCTTTTTGCGAATCCCCACCGTCGCTAAAACACAGGCCAAGATGGCAGGCCCTGTGTACACTCCGAGCTGGGGGGGGAAACACAACCCCGACAAAGTCAAAAATGGAGCACCCACCTCCTCTGCAAGGAGATGGAACAGATTCTAAATGCATTTGCTTTCATTTACCATTAAAGGGATATCTTTTCCTTCATGCACAAGTGCAGGAGACAGTATGTTAGTTATAAGAAGGCCCAACGGATTGGCTATATGGAAATAAAAAGAAGAAGTGATGTTTATTTTCCCTCAAGCAATTGAAATACCGTGCCAAACATTTTTACACACAAGCCAATGGACTCTGAGAAGCCAGGAGTTTACCCAGGACCAGACCCTGGCTTGGATCCACGGGTCACTTTAGCCCAGGGAGTGTGAATTCCTTCTCTTTCCCCCTCCTGCTGCAGGCCAAAATTACCCTTAAGTCCCTCATATGCATTCCCGGCAAGCCCAACAACTATCAGTGCAATATGAATCAGATTTACAGCCTTCTTAGCCTGTTGACTTCAATGGGCGTGGAAGGATGTAACTCTTAGAAATGTACTATAAAATCATAAGAATTGGAAGGGACCTCCAGGGTCGAGTCCAACCCCCTGCACAGTGCAGGAAATTCACAAATACCTCCCCCCCCCACACCCCTAGTGACCCCTGTTCCATGCCCAGAAGATGACAGAAAGCCTCCAGGATGCCCGGCCAAACTGGCCTGGAGAAAAACTGCTTCCTGATCCCAAAGTGGCGATTGGCATTTCCCTGGGTGTGTAAGAAAGGGCCTCGAGAACTAAGCACTGAAGCCACCCTTCCTGCCCTCCCTCTCACGATCCGCCCAAGTTCACAGAATCAACATTGCTGTCAGACGGCCATCTGGCCTCAATACGAAAATCATTTTCCTGGTCAGATTTGCTGCTCCAAGTTGCTTCCTTGTATATTTATAAGCTTCCATTCAAAATAGAGCCATAGAGCAAAGTATTCAAGGCTTAACTGTTGCATGAATTGAATCACTGGGTTGGAAATTCCAAGCCTCCTTTTTTTTTTTAGAGCAGAGGCTAAAAAATGATTCGTTTGCGAAAAGTGGCAAAATTCACCTATTCAGTAGGGTGGAATCACAAGGTTAATGGCTTCCATATACTGGAACCAGTTGGGTGGTTTCTCGTAAATTTCAGTATCTGGTCTCTGCTGTTGCTTAATTGTGGCTCATCTGTTGAATAAAGAGATGCCAGGAGTCCTTGCACGAGAGAGGCGCAACTGTGACAAGCAGATGTGAAGGACAGACACACTGTGACCTGAAGAGGTTCATTCCGAGAAACACTTTGGAATGCCTAGACTGGGCTGCAGGCTACGTGCTACAGGCTGGCTGTGAGGCTGAAGGGGAGCAACTGGCTCACGGTGGGTCAGGCTGAGAGCGTGCTGTTAGCCCAAAGTCCCCCATAAGCTTCCGTAGCAAAGTGGAGATTCTGTCCTGCCTCCCCTCCCCCCCCCCGGATCCTAGCCCAGCACTGTAACCACTAGATCATGCTGCCTCTTGGCTTGAAACCTATTGCTGAACTGCTCTCCAAATCTGCACTAGGAAAGCATTCTGGTTATTTATCGCCCGTGTCGGCTCTCCCCTCCCATCAGAGAGATATCATGCTCGGCAAGTCCTTTCACAATCTGGGCAACTGACGTTGTCATGTGTTACTGATGGGATGTGGGAGCCCACCAAGGCAGTAAGACTGGGCCTCAGTTGATGTACCGCATGGTAGACTGTGTGGATCTGTTTGTCCAGAGGGGCCCAACAGGCAGAGGATCTTGCCAGGGTTAAAGATGGTGGGGGGTCGACCCTTCTGTTCTTCAGAGTCATTCTAGTATATATGCATTATGTGATTATACACAACATTTCAGTTACTAATGTAATACAACAAACTTCTGCAGGCATCAACTCGTCATCATCATCTAAGTTTATTAATACGTGGGCAAGAGTGCTCCAGTATATGGCCAAACACGGACTACTTTCGTCAAATGTATCCTACCGCTCCTGGGTTTACTTCTAATTGTTCTGTTGTTGGGACCCTCTTATTTGACAGAGCATTAAAAGATTTTTTGTTTTACTCATCAGTTTTCTTAACATCAAATTTTTGCCTTAGCAGTTCTTACTCCTCATCTTAAAACGATTACCATTCTTATACAGTTAAGATTTTGGATGAACTTGTGGGTTTCTTAGTTCAGGTTATATAGCTTTAGCAGGTTGTTGTTGATGTTTATAAGTTTTACAATATATGAACTTTGCAGTATCACATTCTGTATGGATTCCTTGTTATCAATTTACTAAAAATTGGGGAAATGATAAAAAGGACATGACATTTCAATAAGTAAGCGTTCAAAGCTTTTTACATACTTGCAGTTGGATCCCACTGATGGCTTCTGTTGACAAGATGGAGAAAAAACCGAGGCTGAAAGTGAAGAGCTCCTCCACAAACTGGGTGAGTGAGCGGCAATATGGCAAAGGCCAGTGTTCGTAAGTGTAAAATGATGCATAATGGGAGAAAAAAATCCCAGCCTCAAGTATACGGCTAATGGGGTCTAAACTTGCTAAGACTGAGAGGGGAAAAGATCTTGCGGCTGTAGTGGGTAGCTCACTGAAAGTGTCGACCCAGTGGGCTGCAGGGATTATTTAGAAAAGGGATTGAGAATAAAACGGCCGATATTGCAATGCCCCGGTAGAGATTGATGGTGCGACTTCATTGAGAATACTGTGTATGGTTTTGATCACCGTTATCTCAAAAAGGGCACTGCAGAGCTGGGAAAAATACAGAGGAGGACGACCAGAATTATTAGGGGGTTGGAGCACATTCCCTGTGAGGAAAGGCTGAAAGGTCTGGGAGATGACTAAGGAGGTGGACATGATAGAGGTTTATAAAATTATGCACGGGGTGGAGAGAGTTGACATTTTTCTCCCCTCTCCCAAAATACTAGAACTTGAGGGCATCCAATGAAGCTGATGGGCAGTAGGTTCAGGATGGACAAAAGGAAATACTACTTTACACAGAGAGTGATTAAAATGAGGAATTTGCTGCCAGAGGATGTAGTGATGGCCACAGGAATAAACAGCTTTAAAAGGGGAATCGATAGATTCATGGAGGATAATGGCCACTAGACATGGTGACTAAGGGGAACCTCCCCATTCAGAGGCACTAATCCTCTGAATCCCAGAGCCAGGAGGCAACATCAGGGGAAGGCTTTGGCCTCTATGCCCTGTTGCTGGCTGTCCAGAGGAACTGGTTGACCACTGTGTGAAGTGGGATGCTGGACTGGATGGACCACTGGTCTGATCCAGCAGGGCTCTTCTTAAGTTCTCATGACAGAAGAGGCTGGTTTTCACTGATTTCTTTCTCCTCCTGACTTCCCTCCTCCATGCTGTCTCCATCTCCCAGGAGCAGCATTTCAAGGCACAACTATGGCCAGGAAGTGGGGCTGTGCTCCATTGACAGAAATACCAGCTATCAGTGGATATTTTCAGCAGGGCAGAGGTCCATCAGTGGCTATTAGCCACAAGGTATAGATAGGGACTCTGGGGCAAGTGATGCTCTGTCATCTTGGTGCTTGGGGGGGGTCAACAGTGGGAGGGCTTCTAATGTCCTGGCCCCACTGGTGGACCTCCTGATGGCACTGGTATTTCTGGCCACTGTGGGATACAGAGTGTTGGACTGGATGGGCCTTTGGCCTGATCCAACATTGGCATCTCTTATGTTCTTATGTTTACTGGAATTATATTTATTATATTTATATCTAACCAAACATTGTATGAATAATCCCATTCAAACGGATGTAAGATAATTCCATATAAAGGGACCTTTTTGGGTGGGTCTGTAAATCCTTTTGTCAGTCTTCCTTATTTGGGAGCAGGGGTGTGACACCTGAAGAGTTTCTGGTTTTAAAGTGGTGTGTGTGTGTGTGTGTGTGTGATTTGTTGTTTCCCCTCTGTGGTTTAGTCTCCCTTGTTTGTGTGTTGTCTGTGTAGGTTAGGGTATTTTCCAATTGATGCTAGCAGACAAGAGAATAACATTCTTTTGGTACAGAAGATAGATATAAAGTACATGTTTTTTAATTGTTTAGGGTAAAATTTTGCAGTGTCTGGGTCAAAAAGGACTTTAGCTTCGTATCGGGAAAAAACACCTTTGTTTGGGTATAGAGAATCCTTGGCAAATATTATGCAGCTTAGGTTAAGTAAACACTTGATGATATTGTGTAGACACACCTTTCTTTACATTTGACCAATAAGGGAATTATGATTCAAATGATGTATTATTATTTGTAACCAATTATGCTTTTTGAATATTATTTTTATGATGATGTCATTCCAAGTATAAAACTTCATGTATTTCCTGATTGTGCTCAGAAAGCAGTCAATTTTTGATAGGCTTGTTTGGCCTAACTGTTTTCAGGTGTCTTGATTTGACTCCAGTTTTTGACTGGGACTTTATTTGTATAACACCAGAAGCTTAGCTTCTGAGATCTGATGAGCTCAAGCTAGCCTGGGCTATCTAGGTCAGGTCTGTAAGATAGGCCAGTATCATTGGCATGATGATGATGATAGAAGGAGGAGGAGG